CGGGTGCAAGAATAGCCTAAGGTAGTTGCTGTAAGTGTTGCACAACAATCGTGCAACAATGACCTACATGATGTGGCGTGAAGAACGCCTTTGGAATGTCACTGTTCTCCAATGAGTACACATTCCATATCTTGGTTTTATAAATTGCTATCCTCTGCGGACACAAGCAAAGCATTTGATTCGAGTACAATGACCTACTTGTGACAAGACCAAGTACTAGAGTTAACCCATGGGGTTTTTTTCAATTAATGCTAAAAGACCCATTTATGCAATTTTATCACAAGCAACCCAAAAACTTATTTTATGATCTTACGTGAAGTGGTCGTTAAAATCGTATGACCTAAACTAGAACAGCAATGGCTAGACAATTTTATGTACAATTATGCCATATCAAATTTGATCAAAATCAGGTCATCAATTCTCTGGTTGTTTCGCGCGTACGAACGTACGGACAGAGCTCTTTCAACAACCGATCTGAACGTTTGCGAACACGCCCAACGACTGGTGTTTATCACAACACGCCGACTTCGTCTGAGATCTCCAACGCTCATTTGAAACAATTCTCGGAAAACACTAAATCAATAACTTCTGTTAAGTATTTATTATGCCTTTCTACTGCCCAGGCTAGCAAAACTAAATTAAACAATTTCATTATCCATTCCTACAGCCATTTTCCACCAGTACAACTTTCGGACTGAATCGCGACGTCTCCTTTTTACAGAAAGATAAAAATAAGCTATCAATGCATATATCTTGAAGATTATTACACAAAACTTCAAGATTTACACAAATTTACAATCCAGCCTCGCAGATCGCATTACCATCATGTTGGTACTACCAACAGTGTGTAATAAAACGTCAGTTATGTCCTCCGGATACATGATCTTGCCGAATTTAATGAAAATATACATTTAATTGAAAAACTACGGTAGTAGCCGTTACCAAATTGCATGTTTCAAGGTCACGAAGGAATTTCAAAACCTCTTCCCTTTATCGCACAACCACAGCGTTGTTATCTTTTCTACGCTGCGAGTTCTGAGCTGACTTCATTCTTGTGGTCTCTTGTGTGTTGCAACGTTGTATGATTTTGCTTTCACCCGAACGCCTGCAATTTGATGAAGGCTGCTCTTGGACGCACAGTTTTTAATTGCTGTTATCTTTTGCCGAAACAATCCCAGTATTTGTTTATGTACATAATGATTTTTTTTAGTGTTCTGTCTGACGACAGGTCCATATGAACAGGATCCTCCCATCCTTTTCTCGGAGTGGGATCTGTTCATATACGTTCTTGGCAGATGATCCAGAAGTGGTTTGCCATTGCCTTCTTCTGTGTGTGAATGGAGTAATTGTTGGGATGCCACGGAGAAACCGGGGAAGCCCCCGGAGGAAAACTCCGTGTTGCCTAGACTACGGCCTTGCCCGACACAAGGTATAAATTCGGGCACCGCCGGGAATCGAACCCGAGACCCCAGGGTTACAAGGCCAGCGTTATAACCGCTAGACCACCGTGGCGGTCCACATAATGATACTGAGATAAAATAATATCAAGAAAATCTTACGCGCCTGTATAATAAAACGGTCGTTACAACTGTCCGATCTAAATTAAAACTGAAACGGTTCAATACCGTCCACAAAATTCTCCAATATTACCTTCAGTCAAACAGGGTCTATCCGTTTTCTTGTTTCATATCTACTGAGAAGCGACTTTAACAGGGGTTCCGAGAGGTTGCGAAAGCATCTAAAATACTGGCATTATCAGAATTATATTAAAACCCGTCGATGTGACAGCAGTAATTTTTGTGTCATTAGGAACAGCTCTGGAGGCTACTTCGGCATGCATACAGCGTACTTAGGATGTCATTCCCTCCCGCCCTGGTCTGCGCCAGTAAACATCCATTTTAACGACGGCCTTTATAAGCTCACATTTGAAAACAATTAAGGAAAAAGCTCTCCGCATTAGAAAGATAATTTGTCCGCAAGGAATCTTCAATACATGCTACTCCTTCTGTTAATTACAGCACTTCGCGTCTAGGATCACGCAATGCACTGGATTTCAGACCAAAATAATCCGTATCCATCCACAAATTCCACCTCGGGAGTACAGAATGTCCTTCCCATGGAGGTGGGGGCGTATACACTACAAATTTTTGAAAGAATTCAATTTTAGTTCACATCGGTCCAATATAAAACTCTTCCTGGGGACATGGATATTCACCGGACAAAACCATAATTTTTAGAATTTTGTAATAAGTAATTCTGCAGTAACGAAATTGCGGTTTACTAAACAATATTCTGCTGTCAATGATTTGTAGTTTCCACCAAATAAATATCATACCTAATACAGCGACCACACGAAACAAGGTGAGATTAGCAGAGGAATTAAAATAAATGAGAGAAATGTGAAATACATGCAGAATTTCAGTCGGAAAACCCGATGGGAACAGACCTTCCGGGAGATCTAGGCGAAGATGGAAGGGTAATATAAAAACTAATGTCGAAGAAATAGTAGTTATGTCAAGTTGTGCGCTGGATTAAAGTGAATCAGGATTGGGTCCGGCGGCGGGCTCTTGTCAACGTGGTAATGAACATTCAGATCCCATAAAAGACTATACACAATTCGTGAGCATCCGAGCCACTACTGGATTTTCAATGATTCAGCTACATCAACATACGGACGACGTGATAAGGAAACTGTTTGCTGTATAAACCGTTTGTCATCCATCTCCATCTAAGATGCTACACGTGATACATACAATCAAGGATGAACTATCTTCAGCATGACCGGGCACTGTAAATAGTAGTTTCTCGAGCGAACGAGAAGGTCGACCGACGTCTGCAGACGGACGAAGGCTTCCGAGTTGAAATTAAAACGCAGAAGACGCCCGTTCGGCTGCTCTACTATCTAACCTAATTAAATGTAAAGTCTGGACCCACTAGATTCATCTTGATAGCGACAGCGCGGCTGTGTGCTACAATCCATATCGGCTGCGACCTGGACAACGCTTGGCACAACAGTAGCATAAAGGCACTTCCTGCGTGCCATAACGTGAGGAAGGGGAGGTTTTCTTTTATATTGTAATGTCTGTAATTTCACCCACAAATACATCACAATAACAATTAAATCCAGCAACATTATAATGGCATACAAGCTCTAAAAGAGGTACAGTACAGAAATTTTTCATCGGTGCGTCCTTCAAGAAGCAGATACGGTTAACTGTAACTGCTGTGTGCCATTATTGAAGCAATGCCCTAAACAAAGGACAGATGGGGTATTAATTCCAGACACGCATCCCAGTAACAAGCTATCTTGACGATGTCAAACCGCAACACATCAGGCCTAAAAGAAGACGAAGGAGACGGGAAACAAGAAAAACTACTCCCGCGTAAGTACGAGGAAATGATAAATTGGAATAGCTGCTCACAGAGTCTATACCATCTATCGTAAGACACCATTAGAACGTGCCTTAAGCAATACGGCTTACAAGTAACGATAACGGCAGACCACAGTTATGTGCGTGGCTCGCGTTCGGAAACTCAAGGGGTTTCGTCAGGTTCATCAGAGTTATCTGTGGTTTTCTAAATATTATGCCAGAATTGCGAAAAAGACGACACTGCTGCTTTCTCGGAGTGTCTTTAGCCCGCCGCTTTAAAATCCCAATCTGCTTTACCTTTGAACAGGAATTCGTAAGAGACATCTTAAACCTGACGGACTCATTAACCAACTCCAAGAATCACAGCTTTAACTGCCGAAAGATGTAACGAAATTCTTGATTAGCTGAGCTGGTATGGAGATAGAAGATTATCTTCCGTGTCCACGAGCGAACCTCTGGCCACAAAAGGCAAATAACTCGCTTCATAGCGCAAGAGTCCTTGAAAAACTAAGTCACTAATTTCATCACAGACTGACAATGAAATTTCAACGCAAGATAGAAATGTTGGCTCTTAATACCACGTTCAAAATGACCACTTTCAAATTTCTCAGATATGCCGTAAGGTTCGTATTCCGAACAATGCAAAACTTAGGTATAAAGCTGTCTATGTCCATCAGTGAAAAACAGATAATGTAAATATCTATTTCGTTTAGGGCCGCCATTGTAATGCATAAAACAATCCCCCCAAAAACGTTAGCAGACAAGATAATTATAGTTCAGATTCTACAATTAACCCTTAAAAGCCCAGTGGCTTCAACAGTAAATAAATCTGCATTTTATATTTGTGGGTTTCGTAAGATTCTCAGTGTAACCGGAGATTATTTCCTTAAACAGCGTCAATCAGATGATCTATGTAACAGAGAATAATCGCGTTTTGAGGCACGGACTGAATTCTTAAATATTATTTAGACGAATTTCAGCCAATGACTCCAATTTGACGATAGTATTTAGATGGGAAAATGAGAGATGAAGACGACAATGTACGTCATATTCACTAAAAGTTGGTAAAACTGAATTCTCTACGTAGAATCAGCCTGACTATTATTTGATAACCGAATGGTATTAATTATGTAAAACTGGTTAGGTTAGATATAATAAAATAATTTAGTTCCTGTAACTCCTAAGTAGAGCATAGGGCCTCCTTTCGGAGGTTTCATAGTCTTTAAAGCGTGCATTTGAGAGTAAGTGAGTGACTAGTCCACTGACTGCACAATTTTTACTCACTCCTGATTTGACTGCCAGAGCCATCTAGCAGTGAAGCAGTGAATCAGAAGAGAATTGGGTGAGAAATGGCCCCTGAATTTTGCTTACGAAACATCATCTCGTATCATGCTCGCAAGGTTCTTTTACATGCCGTAAATATATGGATTTTATCACCCTTAAAAAATCCATCGACCTCGGCCGGGATTGAACCCACGAACCTTGGGTCCAGTGGCGAGCACGCTAACCACTAGTCCACCCTTTTTTACCTGGAGACAGAAGCACAGTCCAGCTTCCGAAACGTTGTAGCAAAAGACAGGTAACAAAACAAAACGCGTTACTTGAGCAGGTGAATAAATAGTTCCGTACCTCATTGATGTGCTTGTAGGTTTTGATAAGATCGATGCTGAGTTTTCGCAACGGAGCAGTCGCGGGGTCACGGAAGTTATGGGGTATGCGCGCCTGCATGGCTTGCGGCCATGGACGCAGCCAACTGCTCCTCGGCCACCAGCCGCCCATAAAGAGGCGCATGGTGCTGCCGCCCCGTCTCCCCGGCTGAAACAAAAACATAATTTCTCACTAATAACCTTAAAAATACCTCCTGAAACAAGATGCAAATACGTAGTTTTACTCCAGTATCGTGTATAAACCGCAACGGTGGTCTAGCGGTCAGAACGCTTGGCTTCTTATCCTGGGGTCCCGGGTTCGATTCCCGATGGTGCCCGGATTTTTAACTTGTATTGGGCAAGACCGTGGTTCAGGTATCACGGAGTTTTCCTCCGGGACTTCCCCGGTTTCTCCGTGGCATCCCAACAATTACTCCGTTTTCATCATCATTTGACATTAAGCACACAGAAGAAGGCAACCACTTCTGGATCACCTGCCTAGGAAACATATGAACAGGTCCCTATCAGATGGAACTTGTTCATAATGTCACCAGGGATCGGCTCCGACACGATGGTACCAAAAAAATCGTGTATAAACTGATCATGACGTCCGATTTAGACCGAAGCTGTCTTTGGACACCATTGTTGTCTTTTCTAGTAAAATTTATCTGTCCACAGATAATAACGAAGCAACATGATGAAAAGGCCCCAAGTAATGCTTAAACAATCTTCTATATTACGAATCTTGGCAGTCTCAAAGAATTACAAACATCGTGAGGTCAGGAGATTTCTGCCATCTGGGTTGTTGCGCCGTGTAGTATGGTAAACACCAACCAGTCTACACAGCGCAACAACCCAGAAGACAGAAATCTTCCTCGCCCTGATGACGGAGGCAGTATGACCTCTGAAACGTTGGTAAACATCGACCAGTCTACACAGCGCAACAACCCAGAAGACAGAAATCTTCCTCGCCCTGATGACGGAGGCAGTATGACCTCTGAAACGTTGGTAAACATCGACCAGTCTACACAGCGCAACAACCCAGAAGACAGAAATCTTCCTCGCCCTGATGACGGAGGCAGTATGACCTCTGAAACGTTGGTAAACATCGACCAGTCTACACAGCGCAACAACCCAGAAGACAGAAATCTTCCTCGCCCTGATGACGGAGGCAGTATGACCTCTGAAACGTTGGTAAACATCGACCAGTCTACACAGCGCAACAACCCAGAAGACAGAAATCTTCCTCGCCCTGATGACGGAGGCAGTATGACCTCTGAAACGTTGGTAAACATCGACCAGTCTACACAGCGCAACAACCCAGAAGACAGAAATCTTCCTCGCCCTGATGACGGAGGCAGTATGACCTCTGAAACGTTGGTAAACATCGACCAGTCTACACAGCGCAACAACCCAGAAGACAGAAATCTTCATATTCACCGCTGTGAAAACCTCAAATCATACATCGTGAGGTCACACTGTCAAACCCACGCTGCCTGAGATATGCATTCTTTTTACATGGTCATAGCTAGTTTAAATGTATTGCAAAGCCCATCAAGAAATATTACTACAAGCAATGTTTAATCCTGCAATACCCAGCCACTTGAAATACGAATACAATAAGACGGTCTACTGCCTCAGACGAGAGCAATGTTTACGACTGAGGTGTGGGATTCCATCCTATAACTGCTAATGTCGTGAGTCCAGCGTTAAAACTACGGCGCCATCCATACCAAGAAATATCTTCGTTTGTTTTCTTACTCTGGACTGTGATGTAGTTCCATGAGATGGTAAAGAAAGAAATTACTAGTCAACTCGTTCAGACAAAACTAGTAAATTTTGCCAAAACAACAATAAATATAACGAGGAAAATAATAAGAACGTATTCTTCCTCTTTGATAAGAATCACTATATTTGCTGAATGTAACATCCACTTTTTATGTCATCTTCCCACGTATAGTCGTACGCCATGAAATTTGTTAACGATCCGTTTTACTTTTGTTTTCGCTGAAATACGAAGTGGGCGTTCCTACAAATGGCTACTGATAATTCTGTACAGTGTAGGCTACAAGTGGGCCGGTGTTTGTTTTAAACGTGTTGATTTTATTGAAATTGAAGTAAAAAGTCCTGCGACAGAACTGCGAGTTAAATTGCTAAAGTTACAGGCATTTCGATAACATCAACTTCTATGTCCCCATAAACTGCACCACATCAGGTAGGCGATAAGATTAGAAAAGCCGATTTCAAAACGTAACTGCGTACTGGCCACGCGGTTATCAGGTGGTTTGTAATGTACGTGGGCGACATGAATTTCACCGCTGTACAGAATTATCGAAAAACGTAACTCACATTAAAATATTTATTAATGACTGCAATTTAGTACATTTCGGTAAATACCACAATATTGACGTGACTACAACAGCCAAAGCGGGTCGCGTCTTGTTGTAACCTGATGGCACCAGTCCGTCAGTCGTCTTCCGGCAGTCGAAGTGCGAAGATGTCTTTTTCACAAGTGCAACATGTGTTCTTTGTCAAACACTATTTGGAATCTTGTTCAAATAACTCGTCATAACGAGTTTGGGGACAAGTCTCCCTAATCTCCTCTGC